TTTTTTATAAATTACGTAAAAATTAAAAATAGATTAAATTTTACATTTTAAATTTATGTAAAAATTTAATTCTTTATGACGTCAAATCTATAAAAACAAGATTATTTATCACATCTTTATTATATATTTTAAAATTCTAAAATATGTAAATTTAAAATATCAGAACAATAAACATAAAAATTATAGAAATTTAATTGACATTAACAAAAATATGTTCCAATTTTTCATCTGATTGATGCTATAAAATTTATCATATGTTGTATTTTAGTAATTATAAAGGTTTGCCTTTAATTTGATCTGAATATTATCTGACGTTCGAATTATGGATTGTAAAGTCATAAGTGGAAGAAATAAATTCCGATACTGTATAATTTAACTACAATACAATTAAATAATCACATAACATGCTAATTAAAACTAAAAAAATAAATACAAGAGCTTACAGGGTGGTCCATCACTATTTATAAAGATGTCAGGTTGACTTGATAAAAGGCAATAAATGCTATTTTCATTCTTAATGCTAACATGTATCAAAAGAACATGATTTCTACTAATTAATGTAAGCAACGAGAAGGTAATTAATTGTCGGCTACTCGTATAGGGAACATGAAAAATTTATATAATTCATAACAAAACTAATTATGAATCGTGAACGCGCCTGTCCGTGTGCCACCCGCAGACATTCGTATACTTGCTCATCTACACAATACAAAAACCTAATAATTCCCTGCTGGCTTCGTTTGCTTTAGTTTTTGTTTCATCTCAACATCGTCTACGTACTGGACTGTACCGCAATCATAAACAGTTTTTGTACCGAAGACCAATTGCGTCGAGAAATATGTAGTTCATAATTGCCAAGGCATTCACACAGAGCCGGGTGACCACTAAACGAAATTCTCATGGGACATATCAGACGAGATAATAATCTTATAGATCGATTGAACGATAGCACATGCTTCCATTCATCGAGGAAATTTAAGAATGAAAAGAAAATAATCAATTATATAATGTAGGTACGTTGATTGCGGGAACTATAACATTTTGTTATGGTAAAGCAAGAAATGACGTGCCATCTGCAGCGCTGGCACGTATATGGGAGCCGCTAAATATTTATCAGTAAATTAGTATGCCTAAACTAACGAAATCAATTACCCACTGCTTTTTGTCGATAACTGGTTTCGCATAACGACATTCCGGGATTTTGTAACATGGATGATGGCGAACAATCCAAGTGAATAACATAGTAATGTCTTTAGGACATATCTGTTCAGTGTCGGCCTTTTTTATGTAACGGTGGCAGCGTCCTTGATACTTCGCAAATTTTATTTTGGGACAGCCACCGGTGACAGCAGCCAATGACAATAGGTTAAATAAACGTCTTAACAAACGATCTGGAAAGATAAAGAAGTTTTATCCTTGATTGGTTAGGTAGTTTTAAGAGAAAATGTTTAACTTATTAATATTACACAAATATAGATTAATATCTAGTTTTAAATTAATGATAAAGCGGAACATTTATCAAAACATATGTTTCATTTAAATAAAAATAGTTTATAACAACGATAACATCAAGTAACTTTATAATGAATGCGAGCATTTTATAAAAAAATAAATAATTAAAAACTTACAATTTAAATGGTCTGCTTACGAACGCAAATGTAGTCTAAAAGTCAAAAGATTCTACCGAAAAAACATCCAACATACACCTGCAGATTTGAAACTCGGAATAAACTTGCGACTTGGGAAATATCGAAGTAACAAGTCAAGTTTTGCATAGAGTACATCAAAACAAGCGGTGTCGTGGCGATGAGGTGAGGTGGCGTGGGAGAGCGGGGGGCTAGGGGCGGGCTATGGGCGGGCATGCAGCCTGCTCAGACCTCCCGTTGCACTATGCGATGCACTCTTCGCTTTAACTCAGAAGTCTAAAATACTATCTTACTTACACTTGTAAGTGTGCTATTTGCTATAAATATTTATTAGTTTTCATAAAGGATGTGAACGTGACATGCTATAGTGAGATTTAACATTTACTATAGAACTGTTGTAGTTTCAAGTGCCATTTTAGTGGCCGTTTGTTATGAGACTCAGGCCGCCATCTATTGGTCGATAGCCGAACTATATCAGCAACATTCCTATCTAAGGTCCTGCCCTACATAATAATTACCAACTTATTAAAAACCACATTTTTACATATAATAAACACGGAATAATTTGTTGCTTAAAAAAATTAATGATGAACATAAAAGATAACTCCAACTGAAGAATTAACGTTTACAAATATTTAGTTAATTAATAAAACGCTATCAGCACGATAAAGGTAATGACTTGAGCTTGTTGAAAGAAAAATAAAATGTGAATATTATCGTGAATGGTACCTGCGTTATAATGGGGGCATCAAACGTCCTGCGTTTTATAAGTCAGACGATGCACATAACAATTAGTGGATGGTAACATCCGTGGATACAAACTTCATTTACATGCAAATACATCTACATTATAACTAAAATGAACATCCTGTCGCAACGCTATCGATTTGCATATTTTTTAATAAAATATCACGAAAAATAACAATGGCGTTTTAATAAATGGACGGAATACAATTGTTTGTGTTTCCGCTCATATTATTCATAAATTTAATCAAAGCATCATTTTAATCTTTGGCCGCGTTATTCATGATATTTGTATGTTTGTCATGATATTTTGAATTGATGATGATATTGCTACTCATAGAATAATAATGTTTAAATATCACAATTATTGTAGTACTTAGATTTATAAACAACAAAGACTAAAACTCGTTTACCCATTAAACATTTCCTCAGGATAAAAAAAACTATCAATTAAGGTCAAACATGAATGAATAATATTTATTTAATTTCGATAAGTTACAGCGAAAAATAATATGTATAATGAACACTTGATATGCAGTTCCTCGCTTATCTTGTGTGTTACATGTGGTTTAACAATAAAAAGATGTCTTTGAAGTTAAAAATAATTTACGTTTTATAAATTTTGTTCCTTTGCTTTGATAAGAGATGTAAAAACTTTGAATATACAATTTAGTTTTAATTATAAAGTCGCTATTAGTACATTTTTCCTAAACAAAATCCTTTAAACTATACTATATTTCAAATACATGGTATAATTTGTCGGTAGAAATTATTTTAAATATTTACTTTATTTTTCCCTAGTTACCCATTTTGTAAATAGGTCGCACATCAGAAATATATCGCTCTACCTATTGAGGATACCGTACGCAACGTAATTATCAAACACGATAACTATGAATAAATTAAAATTATTTAATGTTCCTAGCGTTACTAGTTGACATCAAAAATTAGGCATGTGACAAATTGTGTTCAAACAAAATGATAGGATCAAAAGTCGTCACCTGAACGGAAGCGAGTCGATGTGAGTCAACACAAAAACTGCATTAGTGACTTTAGTTAATTATAGCATCATACCAATATTACGTAAACAGCAGAACGACTGATAAAGATCGTACTGGTGAACATTTGTTTAAGTTTTTTCATTAATTGAATATTAAGTTTTACATTAATGAAGAATTTCATTCAATACTATTTATATTTATATAAAATTTCTACCAAGCTACCTATATAATTGTACAAAAAATCTTCGTGTAATCGATGTATTTTATGAAGAGTATAGGGAATGGTAGACCTCGACCAGATGTTAACAAAATATTATTTCGCCATCTGTAAATCTTATTTGAAATAAAGTACATTGTATTATAAACATTTGAATCTGTATAAACATACATCCAGGTAGATCAGAACGGTAAATGAGTAACTGTTATATAAATATCTGAATAAGTAAAACATTCTGGAATCAAACAATCTCTCAACTACTTAGCATTTTAAAATTGATCGGATTAAGATCGTAAAATATTTAATAAACATGGCGTTTGTATTTGCTCTAGACAACTTTAACAGTGCTATGAAACAGTCGTGTAATAGCCAGAAATAATCGGGTCGTTCCGTTACATGCGTCATTCGTATGATGCTGGCGTCCGCATACATTGGACTCATACTCACGGTCTATTGCCATGCTGGTGCTGTGTTCATTTTCCTACTTTACTATTCACTTAATAGTTAATTCATTTACCATTACTTCATTACATTTAGCAAAATAGGTGAGTATTTTAATTAATTATCATATCGATGGGTAAGAATTTGATATGCAAGCTGCGCCTGCGCATTGAGGCCGTGTGATGGTACAAAACTCGGGGCATGCTATGCAAGAGCTGGCATGCATCGGCTTGCGTGGTGTTCACACACATGATGTTACGTGACATTTACCAGACTGTTTTGCAGGTTCCGATTCTACGACCGTTGGTCAAGAACGGTTAATTACTATTTTTTACAAGATTTTATTGAACTTCCAGTTTAAGTATCTACTTTGTTTGGGTGAAATTTTGAGACCCAATTATGTATACTGTATACTGTAACTCGTATATCTTTAAGCTGTTGGGTCCAAATATTGTATTCAAGTTCATTTTGGACGACTGTGTATTTGTTTTGTAACGTCGAACTAGTTGAATGCCATGCACTTCTACATTATGGTCATCAATTTTGATTGAGGGCTTGCAAAAATAACTCAAAATATATCGAGTGATAACGGCCCTAAACATAAAAAAAGAAACAGATGTTTTTTAAATATAATATTATGGGTTGAATGCCTTAAAATAACAAAACGTAGTTTTCTTTAAAACTTTTACTATCTGCTTATAAAGTTTTTAGGTACGTATTACGAGTTATCAGAACTCGTTGAATATTTTTATAGTTTTATGTATTAAGATTTATTTTAAAAAATTTACTTTTTTCCGTTAAGTCTGTTTCAGTATAAAAATAAATTAAATTTATAAAAAAAATAATAATATAACCAGTTAGGCCTTATAAGCCACCGCAGTATAATTAGCAGATATTTAAATGTTGTTTGCGTAATAAGTACGTACTCTTAGTTGCGGTGATTCAATACGCATGCAAGAAACAGAGAGGGAACGTTGCGAGCGGTCAGCGGGGGCGCGGACTGTGCCCACAGCCTCCCGCGGCGATGCCCCGGCCTTTCTACTTTTTACAAACGCATGCTTGGCTCGTGTCTTTTTCGCTCTCCTCATTCGGAATTCGTTGAGAGATCACCGCTGCCGGTGGCAAATGTCTTGTGATATGTCAGATACAGTACGTGCGTTGCGAACGCCGTAATTAGACACTCGTCTCACTCGGAACACCTCGCCCGGAATATCCCCATCAGTGACAATTAATTCTCCGGACGCTTGTGTTTATTCAAGGAAAACCGTAAAATCCTTCAATGGACATTTCAATTGTTGATCGAGTTGATTGACTCCAATGATTGTTATTGCTTTTTAATCATCATCGTTACAAACCCAAAACCATTGAAGAAAAGACTATTGAAATAGAACACTATTAAAATTTTTCTCTCAATAATGAAATAAGTGGCTAAGAATTTAAACTTAATACATATTATGAGATTTAAGACTTTCGCGAGTATTCATTTAAATGAAACTAATATTTTTCGGAAGAACTACGCGATTTTTTATTTTTATCAAAAACTACATACTCCCGACGTTTCGGTTACTTTACAGTAACCGTGATCACGGGCAGACGAGATGTGAGTGTCTGAGAGAAACGTCGGGAGTTTGTTGTTTGTGATCAAAATAAAAAATCAGTTTCATTTGTAGTAAACTATTTGTTTCTGAAAGTTCATATAATTTTGAAATTCTAGGGAAAAGTAGGCTCAAACAAATAGCGAAATAATATTTTAAAACCAAAAATATAAGAAAAAAAATAAAAAAATAATTATAATTATCCTTGATCATCCATGTTTTAAAATTTTTGAATTGAAGAGTTTATCTAAGTAATAAGATTAATTATCTCATGATAAGGTAATTAGGTACATTAATAAAAAAAATGATTCTTTATTACAGCTTGAAAACTTATTATTTTATAAAAATTTTCGCACATTAAAATCTAGGTATCGTTTTATATAATAAATTTATAAATACTTAACACACTTAAAGAATAATATATCCAAGAATATTATAAATTACGAACCATTCCTGATAGTTAACAGAAATAAATTAATGTATTAACAATCGAAATTAAAAAACGCCTCTCATGATTTGGCGCGAGCAAACAGAATTTTCAAACGAAACAAGGATGGGCAGTGTTAAGTGCAATACAACACTGTGGCAATTATGGAAAAAGCGAAGGTGTCGTGAGTAGCGCGGGAGCCAACTACACGTGTTACTGGCCACTTGCATAATGCCATCCAGGGCTATGCTATAGGAAAACATCGATATAAAATAAATACAGCAATATAGGTATGTTTCATATAATATGTTTAGGATATTTATATTAGGTGAAACTTTTACCTAACATAATTTAAATATGTCGTACAGGACAGATCACTTAGACTCCGAATGTTACATAATAGATATAATTTTTACCGTAGTGACATTCGAAAATTTTCTTTTAAACAAAAATATTTAGACCAAATTTATTCACTGGAATGCGTTTAAAAATTACTATTTTTTATGAAAGTGCATTATAAAAATAACAAACTTTAAATATTTTTGAAATTAGGTTTTATTTTTGGCTTAATTTTATTTAATGTCAAATGAAATACTTTTATATCATAGTGCTTAATTTTTTTTAATAAATATGTTATCAGATTTTTAATATTAGTATTATAGTTATATATATTTGCAATATAATTGTGAACTTTCTTGTAAGCACTTTATAAATTTATTGAAACTTAAACAAAAGATGTTATCTACTATTACGAGTCTTTGTCCTCATTCAGGAGCCCCATAATCATTAAATGATGTTTCCTTAATAATTTTGCTGACTAATGTATAATGTAACCAGATATAATATTAAAAATAAAGAAATCTAGCAAACGAATACCCCGGTGGCAGCCCTTTGCAATCACGAAGAGAAGCCGCTTGCCCTTCCATTGAATCAAATTCATATATTTTGAGATTCAGTCTCCAATTTTATTTGGAGAGTCTGCACAAAAATGAGATATTATTTTTTGTATACCGTATTAAATATATGAAGCCATAGCCTTTTGTGAATGATATAATACAAGATAGTAAACAATGGATGGATTAATAGAGCTATTTCATTCGAAGGAGATTAGATAGCAGAGTAATTGTCATTGGATTCCCTATAATTATAATAAAATTATAAAATAGATCTCTTTAATCGAAAGGTAATTTTGAAATATTTGCATTCCTAAAATATAAAGAATAATTAGCAATTACAACAATATTTGAAATTAAATTTATCCCTATGGGTGGAAGAATCTGCAATCTTCAATATAATAATGCTACATGTATGTATATAATTTTAGAATGAATATTTCCCATAACTAGATGCCATAAAATAAGCATAACATGTGACTTGGCAGTGTTAGGTTTAGACATAGCATGCACGCAAATTCTAGGCAACATAATGCTAACATGTAATAGATACGTAATATTATTCTGACCGTACTTACATTCCGAGAATTGTTTTATTGGATTATGCGGCGAGGACGCGGAGCTATAACTATTCAGTGTCGTCTTTTGTGTTATGGAAAAACTTGTTCTTGAACCCATGTAGTGTGAAAGTGTTGTTTATTTTTGCTGTTTAACGTTACATATGTACACATATTATCAACTGTACACCGCCACTGTCATCAGCACACGCCGAGACTGCCTTCCGCCGCTCTTGTTAGCGGACAATACAGTAACTCACTTTTGAATTTGTTAGTATATCGAGATTTTTTATTTGTTACTGCTCATTATATTACCAAATAATTATATAATGGATTTAGGCAATTAATATTTGTTTATCTGATATCTGGTTAAGGAATGGAATTTAAATATTAAAAACGACTTTGTCTGTTAATGAAGACAGATAACTGAATATTTATATAAAACTAATATTTAGCTATAAGAGTGCTAAGCTGAACCCTACTAAAACTTACACAGCCAGTTGGCTAATGTTTATTTGGACATATTTATGGCTATAGTTCCGCTTTTTGTAAGGATGGAAATATGTGTGGCGGATCGCACGTCTGCGTGAGATTTCGGACACCTCTCCGCTTACTAAATTTAATATCGTCGGCCTTTACTTCGAGAACAAAACAAAAAATATACACAAAATCCCCATTGTGTCGGCGAAGCGAACGACAGTTCGCGCCTACCGCCACTCATGAAAATATTTTTTTTTATCTCAAAATGTATGTTTATGATAACACCTGTTTCGTTGATGCCTCCGCGATCGGTGTCAGTCGAAGCTTGTAACGATTTTTTTGCCAATTTAAAGACTATAAAGACGCCCGCATCGCAAGCTAATTTAACCACTGTTCGCCGAATTACGCATTCATTCTCCCCACTTAGTTCACACAACTCTTCCACTTTCCTTCAAAAAATTACAAATAAAACTACTCTATCGATTTCATTATATTTTTAAAGAGGTCTTGTTTGTTCAGATAAATTAAGAGTCATTATTTATAATAAAATAACTCTTTAGGTACTTTCTAACTTACATTGAATCATTCTTTAAGTTATCGCGAAACAATGCAATTCTCTTTTTAATTTCTTTTGTATGTTACATATCAATCTGTACATGTGTGATTTTACCTTAAACTTTATATTTGGATTTATATTGGGTTACAATTTTATGTCTTCTATTTTAAAATTAACACGATGACAAAAAAAATCTGTACGTTTTATCATAAATAGTTAGTTTTTGTGAATGGACTGAAATATTTTTCTTTTATTTCCATTTCACTGTAACATTCGAACGGAACAAACGTAAATACGTAATGTTAATTTACGTATGTAAATTTCCGAAGATTATGTGTACATACAAACATTTTTATACTAGAAAATTGAAATCTTTTTCAGGTAAAGAGTAAAGCACTAAATTCCGAACATGTCCTTTGATATTTAGTTAGCAAAATCGATAAATTAAACCTTAAAGGTTTACAATCTTGTAACATTAACGATTTATAATTTCAAGTCTGTTTTAATATGAAGGTGAATGGGATATTTCATATTTGCTTCTAATAAATCAATCGTATAAATCTTAGTTTATGTCAACTATAATGATGCGGTTGTCAAAGGAGGGCCGCGCGGCCACGGTCCAGCTTTTTGCATAATTACGCAGATGGAATGTCGTTCAAAATGATAACAAAGAAAGATGACCGACTATATGATCAGAAATATTTATAGCCGTCTGCAGCTACGGATCAGCCTCAAAACTGTGAGAACCTTGTGATACCACGTACATTTTTATTTATGCATTATATTTAATCTTTATCTTAGATTCGCTCTCATATTGAATGCTGGTATCGGTATACTATTAATTCCAATGCACATGTAATTTAACAGCACAAGAAATCGCAATCTATCTCATAAAACAGCGCAAACATTGTGTACGCGTAAACAAATATGTCTATGGTGCTGTTCAAATTGATAAACCACATGAAATCTCAGATAGTGAGCCCTCCTTAGAGTATCCACGATTTATATATTATATCGTAACACAATCCATAAGAAAGCGATACAATAATCGTACATTTCTCTTGACAATGTTCCTTCGAATACAAAGTTAGTCGAACGGCAATGTCGAAGATTAGTTTTGTCAACACTATAGGTCCAGTATTAGGAGACCATTGCCTGAGGTGATCGAATGAAAAATACTCCATCCTCGAGGACATAAGAGAAGAATTACTTTAAATTAAAATTTATACATATGTGTTTATCTTCTCATTGATAATGAAATGACTCGCATTCGATCCTACATTACAAAATTAGTATACACTGTAATGTCATCGTACACTTTAATATCGCAATCAAAACTGACGTGGGAAATATCCTCGTTTGTAACAGACGTACGGTCCGACTATAAATTTTACAATGAAATATAGATCTTGTTGACTGCTTTTAGACATTGCATAATTCAATCATATTATCTAGAATATAAGCGCTGTTGTAATAACTAAGGTGATCTTGTTTTAATCCAGTATAAATGTTAATAAATAACTGACATGTTTTAAATAGTTTAGATTTATTAATTAACAGTTATCATACCGTTAATTGCTAAATAAGCCGTATTGTAATTTGAGGGGGAAAAAAATACAAATTTGTACATGAAAGTTATCATGACGAAATGTCTCAGAAGAATAT